CAATGAGAATAGAGAGTAAAGAAACCTGGAACTTTTCTTTCAAAAGTTTCTTTCTGGATCTTGCCATCTTATTAGGTATCCACATGGGGAAATGATTTATTGTAAAAGGGCTTATGTAAAGTTGCTTTATATTCTGTCTGTCTTAAGTCTCTGCTTAGACACCCCCTGGACCTAGGGAACTCCACCCCTGCTCCGCCGACGTGGGCCACTGCTCCCCACTGTGTGTTCCCATAACCCTGTCCTTCAGCAGCCACAATGCATTGTCATGGCCTGACCCCTTGGCCATCTCCCTAGCACAACCATGTACTTCATGCTGTCAGGACCATACTAGCCTGGCCCACAGTGGGTGACCACACAGCACAGTCACGCCTGTGGCATGTTCACCCTCTCTCCAGAGCAGCAGTCAGATGTCTGGGGTATCTAGAAGTTATAGAGGGCAAGTAGGTGGAGGGCAGGGCCACCTCATTTAGAAGTCAAGGGTGTTTCAGCGTGGCCCATGTGGATAGTGACCTGAGGTGTGAGGTGCAGTGCCTGCAGGGCCTGTGCAGTGGTCCTGGATGATCTCTGACTCAGCCTCTACGAGCTGAGTGGAAAGGTGAGAGGAAGGCAGGGGTCAGAGGCCTACCTAGCAGATAACACCTGCCCAGCACAGTGCTAGCTAACAGTTTCCACTTTCCTTCTCTCACTTAATCCCAGACACATCCATGTCTAGCTTCCTCCCCATGCCCTTTCCTGGCCTATCCCCTGCTGTGGGATCTGAGGGAAATGGAAAAAGGAAGACACCCCTCAGAATTCTGACACTCAAGTGATATTATTCTAACAACACTTTTATTGACCTTCCCCAGAGCAGACCTCACTGTTCATTTCCCATCCCAAAGGTCTAAAAAGTGCTTGGGAATCTATACACAGTTCATGTCAAAATTTTATCATTATTATTATTATCATCATTGTCATGATCATCTTAAAAAATACAACTAGCCATCATCTGCAACAGAGCTTGTTGGGGGAAAAGAAAACTTACCAGGATCCTTCTACCAACCATCACTATGACCCCTTCCCCACCCACCCATGACCATTGCTTTTAGAAAATGAGGAAAAGGGGATAGATGGAAAGAACAGACTGGAAAGGTATGAGGGACAATCTGGGTACATTTTCCATGCCAGCTGCTCACCCCAGAGTGGGGAATTGTATACCTTTCTCCTCAAGGCTGAAGAGAAAGGGCAGCCTACTACATGGCAACAGTAAAAGGGAAAGGAGAACCTCTAGAAAGGTTCACGTATGCCTGTGAGTGAGAGAAGGGAACACAGAACAACCTAGAGGATACAGTGCCACATCAGTCCCTAGTTACAAGATATATGCACATTCTACAGGGAGCAAAGGTGCTGGGTTTCCTTCTTCCCTTTAGGTGGAAGATGTTCAGTGGATTAGAGTCTGAAATTAATACATGCTTGACCAGCTTATTGGGGATGGCCTCCTGCCTGTGGCATTTGCTCTAGTAGGATGACAGAGGCACAGACAAGCACTGTAAGAACTTCCTGTTGTGATTACTTCTCAAACTACCTGAGCTAAAGAAGTTTCCTGGAACAGCTTCACCTCAGTCTTTGACCCTTATAACAACAAATCAGTGGCTTTCTGCTTTTGAAGGAGGACTCCTAACACATACCACCTTGGAACCTCTTTTCTCATCCTTTTGTGGAAAAATAATAGTAAGTCATCCTGTACAAGGTTGATGACAGGAAGCCTTAGGAGCCACAATGACCACATGCAGTGAACTAGTGGCTGTCAGGTAGTGATGCCAAGAGAGAAGTCCCATTTCTCCACCGTTGGGTCCCACTTCCATGTGTGACCAGTGTAGGCTGCTCCACAGTGGGAGGCCAGCCCCAGCCCCACCCCACCTTTGGACACTTAGCCAGTGGCCTAAACCTAAGCAAGGGGACATGGTTCCAGCCTGTAGGCAATGGAGAAGCCAAAGATCCAGTGAATAGACCTTGTGGGTAGAGATGGGGGACATAGGAAGATCATAAGGTTCCAGAACTGTGGTCCTAATCCTGGATTTGCTACTTATGCAGTCTGTATCTTTGGAAAATTCCTTCTACTTCTCTGAACCCAAATTTCTTGTCCTCAAACTGAGAGGTTTGATGAGATGTCTAAAGTTTTCCCTCCTTGTTAACTTTCTGGAACCCTAAGAAAGCAGAGTTCATGGGGTATCCCCTTGAATGCTTTAGCAATCTGTAGAAAACTTTCTACAATGACAAGAGTTCTGTTCTCAGGATTTCTAAAATAATATACTCCTTTAATGAGACTAAAGCAATGAGCAAAGTGTTCATGAATCTGAAATAATGTATTAAATTTCATATGGCCTTTTAAAACTAAGGGAGAGGAGGAATTGAATAAAATGTACTATGGACATTATGAACTTAAAAGGCTTGAGAAATTGCTTCATTAAGTTTAGTAAATATTTGCCAAACCTATGCTCTATCCCAGGCATGCTGCTAGGCT